ATATTAATGCAAGTATGCAACATGAGAAATATTTTATTGGTTCCCCATAAGAGTGCAACTAATAATAAACAAAACAAAATGATTGTAACTAAATAATAAACGGTGAGAAATCAATGAAACATTCAGAATTTACATCATACACCCCACCGTAATCATCATCCTCTTCTCTCACCGGATCTGACCATCTACGATCCGAATCTAAAAACATAGAAGATCTTATCCTACTGTCTCTAGTTGCTCATGCCTTTGTCCTTATTGTAAAACTAACACTTATCACCTAAAATATTATTTGAAAAATATGATTAGAGACACCAAAAAGAATAAACACCCGTATGGTGAATATAAATAAAGTTTGAAGAACATAAACCCAAGAAACACAGAATAAGCTCCAATGGCATGATGTTTTAGGTCAGTGATTAGCTACGTCGATTTCTTAGCTTAAGTTCTAGTGAGAGTTAGAGCCGAATATTCTGTGCAAGAGTCATCTACGAAATGAGCTCATTGTGCTAGTGTTAATTGATCAGATGAGACGATGGTCGGATAACTTGCGTCGCAAGTAACTGATTTGCAGTGTTATTGTGGAGATTGTCTTGAAAAAATGAGCTCATTTGCCTCCCATCATTAGTGCAAAATTGAGTTGCCATGTTAAAGTTTACTTCTCGCTCCTATTCACACTTGCAAATCCTATCAAAATAATGGTTTTTTTCTTATTACAAGCTAACATATAAATTGATTTGCATAAGGTTCAAAATTAATTAAGTATTTTGAGAATAATGGTGTGTGGTTGTTTTCTATTGTTGTTCTTTTACAGAACTCCATGAAAAAAATGAAGTGTATGTCAAAATCACTTTTTTATTTGTACATCAAAAATAGTTAATAACTAAATTAAATGTAAAAACTATAGATCAAATTAAACGGGGAAAAATAACACACAAAATCAAAGATATCAAGATTTCTCAAATCACCTTTTTAGAAATTTCGCTTATGGTCCTTATATCACTATGCTTCAATAATTTACTCTCTGTAAACTTAACAAATATACCATCACAAAATTAAAATTGCAGCAACATTTAAACAATCATACAGCTCATAAGATTGAAAAAATTATCATGACAATTCAATGAAACGAAGTTGAGCTTAGTTGAATAAAGAAAAAATGAGTTTATGGGGATGGGTGGTAGCTCTGCAAGAACCATATGATCAACAACCTTAAAATATTTTTTGTACCAACAATCTTTGATTATTTTGCCAACAAACTTTTGATAAACAACACCATTCAAAAGAACCATGGATTTTTACACCCTAA